CATACAATATGTTTATTATGCATTCATTAGATACTGTGATGGTATAAATAATTAACATACAATATGTATATTATGCATTCATTGGATACTGTGATGGTATAAATAATTAACATACATTATGTAAATTATGTATTCATTAGATACTGTGATCGTATAAAAATTAACACATATTATGTATTCATTAGATACTGTGATGGTATAAATAATTAACATACAATATGTATATTATGCATTCATCAGAAACTGTGATGGTATAAATAATTAACATACAATATGTATATTATGCATTCATTGGATACTGTTATGGTATAAATAATTAACATACAATATGTATATTATGCATTCATTAGATATTGTGATGGTATAAATAATTAACATACAATATGTATATTATGCATTCATTGGATACTGTGATGGTATAAATAATTAACATACAATATGTATATTATGTATTCATTGGATAGTGTTATGGTATAAATAATTAACATACAATATGTATATTATGCATTCATTAGATATTGTGATGGTAAAAATAATTAACATACAATATGTATATTATGCATTCATTGGATACTGTGATGGTATAAATAATTAACATACAATATGTATATTATGCATTCATTAGATATTGTGATGGTATAAATAATTAACATACAATATGTATATTATGTATTCATTAGATATTGTGATGGTATAAATAATTAACATACAATATGTATATTATGCATTCATTGGATACTGTGATGGTATAAATAATTAACATACAATATGTACATTATGCATTCATGGGATACTGTGATGGTATAAATAATTAACATACAATATGTATATTATGTATTCATTAGATACTGTGATGGTATAAATAATTAACATACACTATGTCCATTATGTATTCATTAGATACTGTAATGGTATAAATAATAAACATACAATATGTATATTATGCATTTATTATATACTGTGATCGTATAAATAATTAACACACATTATGTATATTATGTATTCATTAGATATTGTGATGGTATAAATAATTAACATACAATATGTATATTATGCATTCATTAGACACTGTGATGGTATAAATAATTAACATATAATATGTATATTATATATTCATAATGTACTGTGATGGTATAAATAATTAG